ATATTTGTGTAGTCTTTGTTTTTAGGGTTATTAACAAAGTTTGTGTACTCAGACCAGTAATATTTGGGGTCACAAGTTTTTGCCATGAATATTTTGTGGGTCAGAAGATAAAAAGTTTGGGAACCACTGGTGTAGAACTTGGTTTTATGGGTTCTACATAGAACTATTTGTACTCAGACAATTTGATTTTAGTGTCTTCAGWTTATAGGATTTACTACGTCTTGTTTGTCTTTTAATTGGGAGTCATGAAGCTCAGAAGGCTCAGAGTACAGAATAATGTTTAAAAGACATTATTCCCCTTCATGTCTGATTATCAAACATTCATAATAGACATGCAGACCTTTTCTTATTGCCCTAAATCTTACTCTCTTATACAAGCAGCTAGCTTCAAAATCTTGTTTAATATCCTTGTTTAGCTCTCCTGGTTGTTGCTGAGAACTTCCAGTTTCTCTGTTTGTTAATCTAAATAGTTGTTTTTCATTCAATTTAATCCACATTTAGATAAGTTCTCTAAACAGGCTGGAGTTTCTCACTCTGCTTCCTGTTTTAATTTTTTATGGTATTTGACCGTTTGGTGTCTCGTTCTGGTTGTCATGCCCCTTCACTTTGAGTGCTCTTATTGGCTGCAGCTCCTCTTGGCACTTCTTTCAACAACCCCCAAACTATCAGGACAATTTGTCTTAAACCTCCAATATTTGTTAGCAGTGAGAAACTTAACATCTGAATCTGGCTGTCCAAAGAGAAATAGTTGTCCACGGCAAAATCCTAATGTGCATTTTTGCGGAGGTTCACGCAGATTAAGTCCCCTGCTAAAGCCCCATGCATGTCTGAAGACTTTATCTTTACTGTGAAATGATGATGCTCTGGGTCTTCCTCGTTTTTCAGAGCCTGGGAAGACTTCCATGGGCTGGTGAATGCTAGTGGTGGACGTTAACCCCTCACACAGAGCTGCTCTGCCAAGAGTAAGAGCTGTTGTTGGGAGTAAATCTATAGAAACCAATGAAATGTTTATGTAGACGTGCGGTCTCATCCTGTGGTATCTGTCTGTCTGCAGGTTTGCGTGTTAAAGAGACGTGTTGGGGGGTGGACGAGTCCAGGGCAGGACACCTCTGCGTGGATTGGCACTGTGTAACAGGAAGACAGAGCAAAAGCCAGCAGGGTCAGCGGCTCGAAGACCATTCCCTTTTTGTGTCAAATTGGATGTGTGAGTGGAACGACCCGTCAGCAGAACAGTGAAGCAAACCGAGGAGAGAAGTATTTTAATCAACCAGGAACAACAACAACAACAAKAAAACAACTAAAAGCTTTATTTTTATCTCCCTTTCTTTTTAACGCGAGTAGTAACATCTGTAAACTTGCCACTAGAGGGAGGCTGTGTGACTGGCGTCTGCTTGCTGTTGACAACAAAATCAGTCTGATACAAAACTGTACATCACTTATTGCTTAACAAACACAATCACACAAACTTGAAACYAGTCTGTGTTGAATGAGTTTTATTGGGACTCAGACAAGGTGTCAGTTGGACAATATTTTATTACAGTGTTGTATTTTAATAACATTTCCTTTGGTTGTTTGGAACTTGAGCAGATATTATTGTGTACAATATATTTGTAAATGTAGTTCACTTAAATGAATCGGCATCATTTCGTTACCTTCAACATGGATGTTGAATCTTAAAGGACACAGATCATCCCCTGTTGGGCAGAAGGTTGTATGTGGGAGCTTTAGTATGAGCTATAAATTGCCTAAAAAAATAATCACTGTGCCTGGTTTCAGATTTGAGCTGACCTCTCTGTCAGTTCTGTCTGAACACCATCTTTAAAAAAAAAGAGGGCTTTGCTTTAAGGTCCTCAGTAAAGGTATACAGTCATCCTTAAACACCAATGTTCACCCCTTTTCCATTTTGTGATATGAGATGAAACTGGGCCCAGGATCAGGGTTTGGTTGCAGATTTTTATCCTGGACAGGATATGTTTTTGTTTTGTTTTTTTTGTTTTTTAAAGAGCATATGTAGTTTGTGGTGAATCTGTAATGCTGCCCAAATATGTTGGCACAAAGATGGAGGCAGGTGTTTGTGTTAAAAGCAAAGAAAAAAAAACGTGTGCACCTCATGGATTTATAGCAATAAATGTTTAATATGGATCTGCTGCTAAAGCTTCTCCACTCTGTTTTTTTCATCATCCCACCTTCCAGATCCACTCTGGTCAGTGACAGAAACCTGGTTCCTTAAAATTAATGACTTGACTGGTTAATATGAAGCTCCTTCATCACATCAGCTCATCTCAAAGAACATGTGATTCAGTAAGAATGTAGCAGCCAGAAGTAGCAGTTTGGTTTGTGACTCTAAACTTGGAGGCACTAAAAAAAAAAAAGAAGGAAGATAAAATCCATAAATGTCTGGATTACTGATTTTAATTCAGAGATTAAAAGTTCTGTTTGTTTCCCAAAGATACCCATTAACCAAACAAGTGACAAACAGAAGGACGGTTGAATGCGAAATAATGCCAGAAKGTCCCCATTCAGATTTTTTWAGTCTTACTGGGCATTAATCACGAAAATCATTTAACTCATCTTTTACCTCTAGGAAAGACCAGAGAAATGTTTACACTTTACAAATTTCCGGGAGGAGGATGGAAGTCATGTAGGTAGCTGTATTTTTTTCTAGTTTGCAAACTTTTAAAACAATGCATTTAGCTGTTAAATATTGTAATAATTACCACGTGTGGACTAGGTTCAAACTGTGCTCACTGTCTGATAATTTTATAAAACTGTTGCTTAAAACGTTTTAACATCAGTTTTAGAAATTTACATCATACATTGGGATTCTAAAAGATAAAAATCATAAACGGTTGTGGGTTTCACAAATAACTTTGCTCACTTGGATCTTTGTTTTATTTTACTGCGTGTGTGTGCATGTGTGTGTGTGTCCGTCCTTGTTTTTCCTACATTGTGGGGCCCAGTTTTAAGGAAAACGCAGCCTCGTGGGGTCCGGGTGCTCCTTGTGGGGCCCAAAGCCTGGGCCTCACAACTTCAGAGGCTGATTTTGAGTTGGGGGTTGGGTTTAGGACCAAGGTGTGAATTGAGTTTAGGTTAGTTTTAGGGTAGGGTTGGGCATAATCGTATCGTGTGCAATTAATCGTCAGAAAAACATTAATCGATTATTTTTTGGCACTTGACGAT